AAAAAAAATATTATGGTTACCATCTCATTACTCATTCACAAAATTCTGGCAGCTAAGCTAATTAAACTAAGCACAAAGGTGTTTCCGTATGCCATATCAAATTGACGTCAACCCCTTGTTTTTGCACATAAACTACCCCAATGACAAGAGACTTAAAAATAGCCTGTGGTTGCCATGGTAACACAGATATATGTGTTAGTGTAGCTGCTAGCAGTCTCTGGAGATGGGGACTGGCACTGCACTCGATTTCACCTGCTGAAGGACTGCAGCTGCCTGTGTCTACCTCACTTAATTGGGTCAGACATGCATTTACAACGGTCAATTACATGTTGTTTGGCCACAGCTAGCTCCATTTCTGCACTGTAAACTACTCATGTGGGGATAGTGGAGTTTTTTACTCCACCGCCCCACCGCTAAAAGTACAAACTACGATTAGGGTGAAGGATGGTTTAGACTTATGTGCTGCAGTTTTCCAATGAAACCCCTTGTAATGTCTTGCTCCAATATAAGTCTATTAAACAATGTAATGTTCAGTTTTGCAAACTGAGGGGCAAATCCACTTTTCTATTGAATCCTCTGAATGGAGGAGGAATGTCTGTTTATTTTTATTTTTTAAATTAGGGCTTCCCTCGACTAAAGATTTTTCTGGTTGACTAGAAGTCATTCATCAGTCAAGCGATTTTTTGACTAATCACACGTTTATTAATAAACCATTTAAATCATAATAATGAGCCTGTAATTGCCTAATAAGCGCTCAAGTGCACACATAAAGCTTGCCACAGCACACAGCACAAAAACAGTAAGGAGGCGGCATTAACATTTTAATAATTTATTGATAAACTAGTGCTTTCTTTGTGTTTCGGCTTAAGAGATGAAGTTAGCGATACTGAATCTTCATCTCCGCAGAAGTGATGCACCTGTATCCATGTTTCACATGGATTACATAATCTGAGAATATTTGTTTTCCACTTGAATTGATCATTTGAATGTAGACATTTTTCTCTCTATAGATATATTTTTTTATGTCTGTAAGGCAAGTATACACAGAGATTTGGTTATTTTTATTTATTTATTTATTTTTGACGTGCTCAAATTCACAGAGACCGAGACAGCAGAAAGTGCATCCTGTTTGCTTTCATTATTTTGCAAAAGTGCAATGTTTTGTTGTTATGTTGCACACAAATAAACAAAAGTCTTTACAGATTCGAAGGATGTATTATTCTTATCTTTATGACCAAAAATGACGGAGTATTTTAAGAGCAAGTGACCGCACTGGCGCCTCCATCTGTCTTGCAGTGAATGTTAACGATCTGTCCGTCACAGACTGCGTGACTTCGCCACTTCCTGTGGATTATTTTTTTCTGCGACTAAGCGACTAATAAAATGTTGGTCGACCAAGCCTCTTCTCGTCGACTAATGGTTAGTCGACTATTAGGGGGCAGCCCTAGTGTAAATGTTGTATACCTCCTGTCCAGGTCAGAAGCAGCAGCGTAGTGCACAGCAGAGCGCCCCCACTGGTCAGTAGCATTAATGCAGGTACCGCAGGACACCAAAGTCTCCAGGCACTGAAAGTGTCGACTAGCTGACGCATAGTGGAGAGGGGTCCTGTCATCACCCAAAACAAAAGAGAGAGGGGGAAAAATTATTTGACAACATTTATGAAAGTTTCAGTTTCAGAGTACAAACAAATTAGTACAGTAGGAATCAACTGAGAACATGTCTAAAACGTGAGATTTCAGTTAAATTTAGCACAAAATATAAGTTTTCATGAAAATGTATTTAATTTTTTAAAGAGACATAATGACATTTATAATATATGACAATTAATATTATTTATATTCATAAATTATTTAGAAATTATCAATATAAAAATACAATGAAATCTGAATATATGTGGTTGAAATGTTACTATACGGTAAAATGATGATAACGTTTTCCATTAACCCAATATTGTAAAAAGCTTAACAATTAAAACATTACTTTGACTTAATGCTTAACGAATCTTTAAAAAACATGTTGGTAACATGTCGAAAAAATGTAAAGAAAATTTGTGATTTTAGACAAATTCAACTGCTCCTGAATGCACTGAATAGCACAGATATGTATACTGTCTATGTACAAGTTTTAGAGAATTATCCTGATGTACATGTCTTGTGTTTACCAAAAACTCACCTTCCATGTTTGTCCCTGCGGTTATGATCGGCTCCACTGCTGAGCAATAGCTTCACACATTCCACATTCCTGACAGAGAGATTGAGAGATAAAAAAATAACTTGCCGTGAGCTGGAATGCGGACAGACAACAGGTCCGACCGGTATTTGTCTGAACAATGGACGATAAGGTAGTCATTAGGAAAGGTCCAATAACCTTATTAGTAATAACTCTACATCCACATCTCTACAGTGTGTATGCACACATGAAATGTACTGTCTTTATGTGTGATTTCAGCTAAGCTAAATATTAGCTTAATAATATAATATAAGCTAAATATTTTTTTTGTTTGAATTTGTAATTCTGAAATACATTTTTGAAAAGTAAGCAAACAACAGCACATATTTTTCATGCCATTCAACAGGCAAAATCCAGATCTGCAAGACAGACAGACTCACCCGCCTGCAGCTGCGGCATGCAAACACGTCCTCCCCAGGTTGTCTGGCGTATCGATTTGGAAGCCTGCAGACAGGACCGAGTCATTACTGAGAGGGCACATTATGCTACACCTCCGTCCTGTAGAGGAATGGAAGTATGGGAAGGAAGGATGCAGTGCACGGAAGAGGAAAGTGCCCCCACACCCGGACGCAGACAGCCACAGTATCAGACCGCAGGAGGGGAAAGAATGACACGGGGGGGATGAAGACCGTGTGAGAGAAAGGATTTTAGTTCAGGATAAACAAAGACATAGGATAGACAAGACAAACACACATCGCTAACAGAGGTGAGATCACAAATGTGTGCAACCAAGCCGAACAATTCAAAAGTACAGATGTAGCATCTACATTCTAATACAACAAACCAACAATCAAGAGGCAGAGTAAAGAAAGCACACAGATATAAGGGCATGCCAGACATAAGCAAAGAGACATGAGGAAAATTCATGCTCATCAATTCAGATACAAAAGATCTATAACTCAGAGTTAATCTAATTACAGAAAGAACAGTGGCAACGTATTCCTTCAACATAAACAGTAATTTATGAAATAATAATTTATGAAGAGATAGGTTGTCTGAGTCGCATCAACTTGAGGGGTTCAGAAATTTGTCCCCTCCTCATATCAACATAGACAACAACCAAAAATATGTGGACCATACCAAGTGCTTACTGAATATTTCATTTCAAAACCATGAGCATCAATAGGGAGTTTGTTCTTCTTTTGTTGTTGTAACAACTTCCACAATTCTGGGAAGGTTTTTCACTAGATGATGGAACATGGCTGCAGGGATTTTCTCCCATTTAGACACAAGAGAATCAGTAAGGTCAGGAACTGTTGATTTACACAACATGTCATGTCAAATCACCCAGTGTGGATATGAAAGCTTTCTAAGGGAAATGGACTGGAGAGCAATGAGAGCTCAAAGTAGCCCACACCCGGTGTGATTTGTGGTCAAAGAAATTAAATCTAACATTTTCCAACAAACACCCTGTCTCTGGAGGTCAGAAAATAATTTAAACATACACTACCATTTCAAAGTTTGGTCTCAGCATGATTTTTGTATTTAATAGTGCTGTCAAACGATTAATCGCATCCAAAATAAAAGTTTTTGTTCACATAATATATGAGTGTGTACTGTGTATATTTATGATGTATATATAAATACAAACACATGCATGTATATATTTAAGAAAAAGATGTTATGTTTATATAAATATATTTATATATATTATATATATAAATATATTATATAATATAAAATATAATAATTTAAATATATAAATGTATATACATGTAAATATTTTCAATATATACTGAATGTGTGTGTTTTTATATATACATAATAAATAAACACAGTACACATAAATATATTATGTAAACAAAAACTTTTATTTTGGATGCGATTAATCGCGATTAATCATTTGATCATTTAATACTTTTACTCAGCATGCCAAGGACTTATACTTTTATTAAGCAAGAACTGACAATTCTATTGATAATGTACTATAGAAAGAACTGGAAATAATGAGGAGGAGTAAAAGGAATGAGATCATGAAACATCCAGAGACGTCTTCAATCCTGCATATTCTGCATGAGCGCTATGTCATAATGTTTTTGTATTTAGCCAAAAATGATTTGCACCAGGTTTTCAATGTTATATTAAGGTAGTGCAACTGTAGCTTGGTTCGGTGGTGTAGTCAGTACCTGAGGAGAGAAGCTTCCGGCAGCAGGCGGCGTGAGCATTCAGAGCGGCCAAATGCAAAGGAAACATGCCATGTACTCCTCTTCTGCAGAGGAAGAATGAGAATATCAGAAACAACAAGAAATTATGATTTACCATGATTTTCAATAAATATCCAAAGACAGAGACAAACCTGGTGCAGTCAGCCCCACTTGTGATTAGAGTGTTTATTAAAAGTTCATGGCCATATCGAGCAGCGACATGCAGCGGAGTGTTTCCATCCTTATCGACACAGTCAATCTCGCCACCTGTATCAGAAACACACACTTGTACTCTCAATGTACATGCAAATCAGTCACAGGCTAACAGTAGGCTTTAAGCAGTCTAAAAACAGCTTTACCGTTTTGGATGAGCGTCTGGGAGCGTGTGAATCGTCCATGAACTGCCGTCAGATGAAGAGGGCTTTTCCCATCACGACTCTTGAGGAAACATCAGGAAATGTTTAGTAGCATAACGCACACAGGGTTTGCACTGTCTGTCAATGTTTTGTCCTAGATGGACATACTTGGACGTTGACGTCAGCTCCGCTGTTGACCAGGAACTCCAGACACAGGGCACCGTGAGTGGACGCAGCAGCAAAGTGTAGAGGTGTGAAGCCCTTGTTATTCGGCTGACTGACGTTAGCACCGTAGTCGATCAGCTCACTGACTACTGCATCTTGTCCATTAAAGCAGGCCACATGCAGCGCTGTGTTCCCAAAGGCATTGGCTTCATCTATCTATGAGTAAAGCATATGATATAGTAAGCTCAAACTAGATGTTTTTCCCATGCTCCCTTCTCTATATGTATCTATTTGCATCCTGGGTACCTCTACAGCCAGGCTGAGCAGGCGTTTCACCACAGCGATCTGACCATTGGAAGCAGCAGCGTGTAGAGGTGTGTATCCTCTCTTGTCCTTGCAGCTGATCTCGGCCCCTTGACTCACCAGTAAACACACTACATCTAAGTGACCTGCAGGAGTATGGAGATAAGCTCATGAAGACATAAACACAAATAGTTCACCTCAAAATGAAAATTCTGTTATTAGTTACTCTCCCTCATGTCGTTTCAAACCCATATGACTCATTTCTGTAGAACACAATAGGAGCTGTTTTCCAGAATATTGACTCTTGTCCATAAAACCAAATTAGAAAGTGTGAAGCTCCAAAAAGAAGAAAAAAAGCACAATAAAAGCTCCATAAAACTATTCCATATGACGTAACATAAGTCTCAGCATAAGTCTTCTGAAGAAATATGATAGTTTTGAGTGAAGAAAAAACAATATGAAAGTGCAAATACGATATTGCCAAATATTGATATCTAAATATTTTTTTGTTGATAAGGATAATTAAAAATATTTTGCTGCGTGTGTTTTGTTTTTTTTTGCTGGTAATTTGTTTAGGCCTGTTGTGGACAACTGACTCCCAAAGATTTTCATATTCTGTGCTGAAGTGATGGAAATTATTTTCAGGAGCATTTGAATCTTTACAGCAGCCATTTTTTTCAAACCTTATTAAATTTATGCATCATCTTTCATGTCAAATTCTTACATTTAATCAACCAATTTAATTAGAATAATAAGATACTATAGGCTGTTACCAATCAAATGTAACCAGCACTAACAAAATCTATTTTTGCACTGCAGAGATGGCATCTGATTTGGCATTTAGATATCAGTGAATCATTCATTCAAATGATTTGTTCAAAAAAGCTGATACATTCAAAATGGTTGATTCATTCAATAAGCATATGACTGTCTTTATGAATGGTTTATGCACTCAAATGATTTGTTTAAAACACAGATTAATTCGGTAACAAAACTCTAAATAACTCTCTTACTCTCAGCGTGTGTTTTTGCAAAGTGAGTGCCATACTTGATAATGCCAACTTGCACATCATCAAAACAACAATTACAAAATTCCAGCAGATTATACATATTGTACATCCAAATTAGCATGGACTAATTTGATGTCCTTTTTGGAGCTTGGCAGCCCCCAATAACTATTTTTTGTATTGAAATGGAAGCAGGGTGAACAACTCCTTTTGTGTTTCACTGGAAAAGACATACTGGTCAGAGTTTTTATAAGATTATTCCCTCACCCATATATGCTGCCCAGTGCAGTGCACGGCAGTCTTTCTTGTCAAAGGCATTGATATTGGCACCCTTGGCCAGGAGAAGGCTAACCATCTGAAGAGAGAAAGTGGAAAGTGAATAACAGTGATAAGAAAGAGATAGAGAAATGGAGAGCATGCTTGTATCCGCCTCAATAGGCAGTAAAGCATGAGTCAAAAATGTGTCAGTAATTTAATGCCAGTTTATATAATGACTTTCTAAACCATTCTGCAAATTTCAAGTTATGTTGACAATGCAATGCAGCAAAATTAAGTCTGTATCAGTGGCCATGTGAATTTGTATATAAATCATTCACTGTCTCAGTCGTTAAACTTGCAAACTGCAGTGAAATAAAATATGATCAGAGCCCTGCACATGACATGGAGGCAAAAATATATTTATTCTAGCCACGACTTAATTTGTTCTAAAGAATCAAGAATTTGTTCCCTTGTTTTATTAATTTTTTCCCTCATTTTAGTTCAACTGTGGCCACAATTTACTATTCGCCCTCTGTTTTATTTAGAGGGCATGCTTGTATCCGCCTCAATAGGCAGTAAAGCATGAGTCAAAAATGTGTCAGTAATTTAATGTCAGTTTATATAATGACTTTCTAAACCATTCTGCAAATTTCAAGTTATGTTGACAATGCAATGCAGCAAAATTAAGTCTGTATCAGTGGCCATGTGAATTTGTATATAAATCATTCACTGTCTCAGTCGTTGAACTTGCAAACTGCAGTGAAATAAAATATGATCAGAGCCCTGCACATGACATGGAGGCAAAAATATATTTATTCTAGCCACGACTTAATTTGTTCTAAAGAATCAAGAATTTGTTCCCTTGTTTTTATTAATTTTTTCCCTCATTTTAGTTCAACTGTGGCCACAATTTACTATTCGCCCTCTGTTTTATTTAAATCATGAACACAAATGAAAAATTAATTCCCACAAATAATGAATTTGTTCCCTCATTTTAGTAAATTGTGGCTTAAAATTTTGTAAATTTTACTAATTTGTTCCCCTGTTTTCATTAAATCAAAACCAGAGAATGAATTAGGACAATGTGGCCATGATTTACTAAAACGAAAAAGCAAATTAGTAAAACATGGCAACAATTTACTAAAACGAGAGAATTAATTTGTAATTTGTGGCTACGATTTAACTAAACACATTCATAAATTTTAGAATTTTTTTTTTATTTGTGGCCACAATATATATATTTTTCCCACGTGTCATGTGTGAGGCTCTGTAGTATTGCTATGTGCCAAGCAAAAATGTTTGGTTTCAACTTGCAGTACCTCTGTGTGCCCATTAAGGGCAGCATGGTGCAGGGCGGTGCGTCCCCCACGATCTGAAACGTTGACGCTACTCAGGAGCGGGATGATGACCTCAGCACAGCGCAGAGCCTTGTTGGCGGCAGCGACATGCAACGGAGTCTGCCAGTTCTTATCCCGTGCGTTAACATCGGCAGAATGACGGATCAACACGCGAACTGCCTCCTAGATGTGTACAAAGCAAAACAACGAACTATATTGTGTACTTCAGGCCAGCTGGAATACGATTGACCAATCGGCATCCAGTGTTGGAAAAATCCTATTATAATCCCACAGGAGCGTCTGCATATGATTAGCATTGTTTTAAAGGCATCCTGTTGTGTGACAACATTAAACAACATCTGTCTTATTCAAAAGTGAGTGCGTGTTGAACACCTAATCCTACCTCGCTACGTGATGCCACTGCCCTGTGTAGTGGAGTCAACCACATGTTATCTTTGGCATTGACCCGTGCCCCTACAAAGAAACATCAAACAATAATAACCTTCATAAATTTAGGGCTCTATATGCTGTATTTGTAAAGGGGTAGTCCACCCAAAAATTAAAAGTCTGTCATCATTTACTAAAACCATCCTTTACATTCCATGACAAATAAAAATAACACATGGATTTGGAATGACATGCATAAATGATAACAGAATATTTATTTTTGGTTTAAACATACCTTTTAATGGACTGGGTTTTGAACATGCATTTATTTTATAGGAGATGCTGTAAATGGAAGGGAGGTGGGAAGGGAGTGGAGGGAGAGAGAAAGAAAGCAGCTCTACCTGACACAATGAGGAGCTCTGTGATCTCAGCATCTCCGAGGAAGGCTGCTGCATGAAGGGGAGCTCGCTTCTCAGCGTCCTGAGAGAGAATGAACAAAAGACAGCTGGAGAGTCAGACACATGGACAGAGAGGATGGAAAGATTGTTAAAAATCAAATCAAATCATGTATTAGCTTTGAACCCATCTATATGCTAGTGCACTCTTAAAAGCTGACAAGAATGTAATTGTTGTAAAATGTAAAATGTTGAATGTAATTTATTCCTGTGATGGCAAAGCTGAGTTTTCAGCAGCCACCTCTTCAGTGTCACATGATCCTTTAGAAATCATCTAATATGCTGATTTGGTGCTCAAGAAACATTTCTTATGATAAGCGATGTTGAAAAATGTTGTGATGCTTAATATTTTTGTGGAAACCGTTGATAGGGTACATTATTTATTTTCAAAGGATACTTTGATGAAAATTTAAAAGAGCAGCATTTATTTGAAATGGATATATTTTGTAACGTTATAAATGTCTCTACTGTAACATTTGATCATTCTAATGCATCCTTAATAAATAAAAGTATTCATTTAATTCAAATAAATTCTTACAGATGACAGACAATGGTTTATCCAAAAATGGACAAAATGTTTTACAACAACCTAACAAGAGCAAGTAACAAATCATATTTTGACAGCTGTGGCATAAACAAAAGGCTATTGGCTAATAAAAAAAAATTTCTTTAAAGATAAGCCCTTCGATAGGTCTCACCCCAACTTCCTGTTTCAATAGGAAATAGGCTACATCAACACAAGAAAGACAATTGTGTATGTCAATCCATTTAATGTGGTCTTTATAGTATATTCCATTATTTTTAAACACCAAAACATTTTCTAAAGTCCCACTGTGGACTGCAAAGTTTTTGCAGAGAATTGGTAATTACAGTAAATTCACTTTACTGAATACAATATGCTGATTGCCTGTCATTGCAAGCGATGCGATCCACAACAAAGAAGCATTGAGTGGCTCTTTACAATCACTGATGGAGATGTCAGTGTGTACTAATGTGCTCACACACTTGCGGTGGTAACATCTCAACGTGTCCATTGTCTGAACCTGTTTGCACATGCAGCCTGAAATCATGACTTTGACCAGCAGCTCTATATAAAACATTCGGACAGCAAGCTAATTCTTGCTGGAGCCATTAAGGCGGACACAGTGAGACAAATAGAATAAATAAATATTCTGGAAGAAGAATGGCCCTGAAAACTGTTTTGTGTCCTGTTGCCTTAACTGAGACAAATGTATATAAATCTCTGGCTGTTGTCCATAGGATTACTCGACTATTGTGCTGCGAGAAACAAAGAGATGAGATATAGTCGTGGGAGTAGAAGAATAAAGGAAACTGATCCATACCAGTGCATTGACATCTTCTGATTTACATATGAGCACACGAATCTCATCGGGGTCTCCATTAAAGATGGCTTGGATGAGGGGTGGCTGTGAAAAACAAGAGATTATTTAAACATGGATGGTATTAAGGAATAAAAGCATGAAGCATCACTGGTGCTATTGCTCAAACTTAAAACAACTGTATATAATATTTTTACCTTTAAATATCAGTTTCAATATCATTCTGAAGTTCTAATAAGGTGAATGGCGTCTGTTTCTTTCCCATACTCTTCCTCAAACGTCTGTTCTGGGAGTTATGTAAATTTAGTGAGCAGGTACGAAATTATGCGAAAAGGGTGGATTGCTTTACAGTAGCAACAAATGCTAATGTACAGCTATCGACTGTAATTACGGCAGTGCAATCCATTCACTTAACTGTAGGGGGCTCTAAAGTTATAGTGAAGAATAGAATCTTTTGCTCCCGATTACAAGAATAGTGAAATTCTTGTAATCGGGAGCAAAAGATTTAGTTCAAGTAAAAGTAAAGCAAAAGTTCAAGTTGTTAAAATCACAGTGCAATCCATTCACTTAACTGTAGGGGGCTCTAAAGTTGCAAAACCACACAAAACTGCATACCGTTACTTTATGGTGTGGATACATTTACTGTTGTTCGGCAAATTCTCATGGACAAAATCCAGTCATTTCTGTTGAAATTCTTGTAATCGGGAGCAAAAGATTTAGTTCAAGTAAAAGTAAAGCAAAAGTTCAAGTTGTTAAAATCACTTCTGTGTGGGCTGTGCTTCATACATTGCTACACTACAGATAACGGAACTTTCTTTCTCTAATGCAACTGCACCTTTACGGTAACAGATTTGAACAAATCCCAAATGCTAGCACCCACCCAGAACACCCAAGAAACCACCCATTAACACCCTAGTAACCGCATAGGAACACACTAAAAAACCACACAGAACACTTTTGCAACCATACAACAACATCCTGGCAACCACCATAGCACTGTGGCGGCAAATTATGCAAAAGGCAAGCGCCACATTTTCATCAGAAAGTATACAGACTTACAGAGCTACAAGAACCCTAGATTATCCTTGTGCTGATTATATACACTTTATTAACCCTATCTTTGGAATAATTTTGTCATTCAAATGATCAGTTCTTGAACCAGTTTCTCAGCACAAATCAGACAACTAGGCTGCAAAACCACACAACCTTCACCATTTCCATGGCGTCATTACAGGGAGGCCAAATCGAGGCCCAAAGAGCCCCAAGAAAGCTTTGCACCACACACTGTGGTCATTAAAGTCATGTTTCCTCTATGTAATTATCATCTTCAGTCCTTGTTTATGCAGCAACTAAAGACTAAACTAATACCAAATATATTTATAAACTGTACTTTGCCAGCTATTTTCCGAAATTCAAGTGCCAAGCTTCATATATTTATATGGCAGCGCATGAAAACCATGATAATCCGACACATGCGTGGGATTAGAGAAGCATAACAACACCGAGGTGGTTTGAGCCAAATTTGGCTGCATCTAAACTTCCAGTGTCTCTATCTGCAATAACCCCCACATCTCACTTCCTGTTGCTCTTTTTCACCTTCTCAGAAGCGACACAGAGGAAGCGTGGAAAGCATTTTCACTTCCGCTATACAACAGAACACATGCAGGCAGGCCAACATGCAAATGAACACACAGGCTTCAACGGTAAGGACAGAGATTGTAAAGAGAGGGATGGACTTTTAACATCTTACCGGTATATCAGCATACTTTGTAAACCCCATATGAATTTATAGCTGCAAAAGAGTCCCATTATGGCTTTTTTTGTGAAGACAAGTTCATGTTTTATGAAAAAAATTCTAAATATGTTTCTAAGAATAGCTTCTTTCACTATGACTTTCTCTTTAATATGCACACATACAAACAAACTCTCAGACAACAGGAGATGTGTTGTTGAGATCTGCTCTATTTTCAGCTGCAGAAACAGGCTCCCTCACGCCCACTCACTTCAAACTCATTTCATCATCCATAAAAAACGATCTCTGCTGTGCCAATTCGCCACAAACCATCATTCATTTTTTGTTAGTCATTTCAAGTTACTCAGCTCTCTAAAAGAACCAAAGGCTGAACAATTTCATGAATTTTTCTTTTCATGCATCTCACCATACCATATATCATATCATTAATGAGACCTCTTAACCATCTCAATCGTTTCTTCTATACAGCAAATGCAAATCAAGTCTCCTGCTTGCTCCAATAATCTCATATGCCTCCTCTAGAGACAACGGTAAGGACAGAGATTGTAAAGAGAGGGATGGACTTTTAACATCTTACCGGTATATCAGCATACTTTGTAAACCCCATATGAATTTATAGCTGCAAAAGAGTCCCATTATGGCTTTTTTTGTGAAGACAAGTTCATGTTTTATGAAAAAAATTCTAAATATGTTTCTAAGAATAGCTTCTTTCACTATGACTTTCTCTTTAATATGCACACATACAAACAAACTCTCAGACAACAGGAGATGTGTTGTTGAGATCTGCTCTATTTTCAGCTGCAGAAACAGGCTCCCTCACGCCCACTCACTTCAAACTCATTTCATCATCCATAAAAAACGATCTCTGCTGTGCCAATTCGCCACAAACCATCATTCATTTTTTGTTAGTCATTTCAAGTTACTCAGCTCTCTAAAAGAACCAAAGGCTGAACAATTTCATGAATTTTTCTTTTCATGCATCTCACCATACCATATATCATATCATTAATGAGACCTCTTAACCATCTCAATCGTTTCTTCTATACAGCAAATGCAAATCAAGTCTCCTGCTTGCTCCAATAATCTCATATGCCTCCTCTAGAGATTAGGGCTGGGCGATAAATTGATAACAATAATTATCGCGAAATAATTTTCCATGATAAAATGATAACAAGAGGTTGATAAATGTTCAATGTAATTTTTATGCACCAAAAGCAGAACGAGAGTGCTAGTTATATGAATTGTGTCACATGGACCGTTTATCCGCTCAAAGTTCAAACTATTATCTCAAACTAATATCACTCATTAGAACACGTAAAAACTAAGAAATACATTTTTCTATTAAGATATGTATATTGTTAAAGATGCAGTCCGTAAGTTTTGCCTCTTTGTCACCATCTCTGTTTGAAAATCTGGAATTGCAGCAGTGTGCGGAATTATCTAGTTTGCATGGGTTGTGAGTCGGCACGGCTCCAGCTCGGATTAATCTAATGTTCTGAAGAGTATGTGTGTGTGGCTGTCAGTCACTGCACCGGTGTGGATATTTACTGTACTTCGCAATCACATATTCTAGCCTACGTCTTGGAATATATGACCCAAATAAGAATTTTCACCGTATATTGCCATCTGAACAAGTAAGTAACAAGTCTGCCACGTTTGTTCTGACCAACTGAGGAAAAAAGCATTACCATAAATCTCGCTACCAATGGTGATTAAATCTAAAGATCGGTTAGCTCATATCACATCAAACCGTTCAAATTATTATACTTTATTCTCAAATGATTAATGTTAACAACATCAGCATTGGTGACTATGAGTATAGTGTGTATTAGCGTGTAGATTTCAATTTCTGCACAGTCTAATCTAATTGTCATACTCTTGTATGAAATTCTCATATTAAGAAATTCTTTTAACCCAAAAAGCAAATTATGCTCCCTTCGAAATGGTTTTCTTTAAAATACAAATCTTTGTAATCCCAGGCTATCTGTAATCAGAAGCACATTTATAACTGGAATATAATTTAATTTCATTCACATGTGTTTCATAAACACATAATCCTTTATAGATTACAATCCACCATCAAAATTATACATTTAATTATTCTGGCTGCTGTGAGAAAAGGCTATAAACGATCCACCACCTGCAGGATCCTCACATGCGATAGCCTAGTAGCCGGGACAACTTCTTCATGTTTACAGACGTGACGTAATGACACAGTGCCATGCTCAAATTTCCCGTGAAAACCTAATCGTACCATTCAAATTAGAAAACATTATTATAAGCTAACCGTGGTGAATCGGGTTAAAGGCGATAGATTTGAACACTGGCTGGTTATGTACTTGCTCAAATATTGATTTCGGATCATTTTTAACCCAAAAAAGCTATGGACTGCAGCTTTAAGGAAAATTAATGGTCTGGTTTTTCTACAACTTTCACTTTGGAGCCCAAATCTGGCTTTAAACTTGAAAAGAAATAAAGACTTGACTTTTATCATGATAATTATCGATATGGATTATGGACTGATATGAAAAAAATGATCATGATAATTTTTTTTGACCATATCACTCTACTCGAGATTCATAAAATGTTGCAAATTTGTCAGATAAAGATAAAATTGTCAGATATTTGATTTTGAATATGACATCAAACATTTTACCAGATTATTTAGCAATGTGAAGCATAAATCTTTTAGATCCGTATGCTTCAGGTACCATCACAAATTAGTGAGAGTTCAGTGACTTGTTGCATAAAAAAATCTCTTGTCAACGGTGTAGTGTTGTATGAAACACTTTCAAACAAAACAGCTTTCTGTTGGTCAATGGGAGAATTTGCGTGACAAACTTGTTTGCGAAATCTGCTTGGGGAAACCTTTCGCCTTCTCGCAAAATTCCAGAGTGTTAGACTTCCTACTGAAATGACAGAATTTTGTCTGTGAAATGTCCTGATTGCATGGATTCTTATCAAATTGGCCCGGATTCCACTCATAAAAATTACCGAACAACTGTAAATTTGGCCGCACATTTAGGCCTACTATGATTTGTCCCAATTCACTTGTTTCCTTTTATTTCTCTCAAGACATTTGAGAAGAAACAAGTCTAAGGTGAAACATCTCCTGAGCATATTCTAGGCTAATATACTTTCTTAGGGGATATCATATTAAAATTATTTTCAATAATTAGTTCATCAGTGAACCCCCAGGATTCCTTCTCTTGGTGACATATTTAAATCAGCAGAATTCACAACAACAACCTTCAATAAATGAACAGAAAACCAAATGTTTGCATTTGCAAGGCAAATAAAAATCACATGCACAAGATCAGGAATGTAAAATAACACAGAACTGGCACTGGGCCACCCTTATTGAGCTCTTTTATGAGAGCATTGAATCTATGAGGATACAATGTTGAATTCTCTCGACTATGAGATATTGCCTCTGTCTGGATCGCATGCACAACCACACAGCTCTTCTCTCACTGGAAAGAGAACACAACAGCTGGTGACAACAGTGCCTTCTGTGTTACGGCACTGCAAAGCTTGGGGACGAGATTGCTGAGCGCTGGCACAAGCAGGGATCTGGACGCAGCTCATCACAAATGAGGACATTCCCCGACCTCCCAGCACCGCTCCATGCCAAACTCTCAAACACTGAAGCCATTGTTGACATACATTATGCTACACGACCTCCTCCCACCAACTCCCAGTCCCCTTGTCTATCACTATGGCCAATAGAAGTGAGTCAAACTTCATTCTGAGCCAATGAGGGCTGGGGGTTTCTTCACTTTTGACAACTGGAGCACTGCAGGCTCTTCTTCAAAACAAAGCAGACTAACTCCTTAAGAATCATGAGTCTAAAATGAGGAACTGCTGATGTCGCACAATAAATGAACTGCGAAACTGAAATCTAGTTCCTCGTGACAGCATTTTCCCCCTGATGTTTAAAGTCAGCATGAAATGGAAATTTGCCCATGCATAGGTTTTATTTTTTAAATGTTTTTTGACCTTGTAAAATGTAATCAATATCAGAACTTGATCTTCTGGTGAAACAACAGACTTCTCTCTGCTGACGTACAACGGACTTCTCCAAACATTTAGTCCACTTAAACATCCCCTTGCTCACAATTGACTGCAAATTCACGTTCAGATCTGCCTCCATCCAAACAACAACTGATAGATAGAACCAAAACGTGTTTTTTTTTCCTTTTTGAAAATCTCACTCATATGTCCATCACAACATTGAAGAAAAGATCTGTTGCTATTTCATACATCACAATTTTAGATAGACCATGCATTCTGCAAATCATCTGATTCAGGGGTTATATTGAGTTTGGTGAACAAGCTCCAAAACACTCTTCTGGATAAAATCTAAACTGAAAGAATCTAAACTTTGTTTTCTGAATGGTAAAAATAAAATATGACAAGTGTAAAACCCTAAAACTGTCATGAAGTGCATAACAGAAGTATCTAAAGTCTTACGATGACTGATGTGTAAGCCGTAAGCATACTATCCTCTATTTCCTCTCTATATCTTGTGTGCTCTGAACTTGTGTCATGTAACCCTCCAAGAATACGAAAAAGCATGAGAGGGGAATGTTGAGATTCAACAACTTCCTGTTCCTTTCCTCTTTGGGGCAAAGTATGGAAATCAAACTGTACACAAGACCAAAATGACCGTAAACATTACTGCACTCAGAACACTTAGTGTCACATATAAACTTCTACAAAAAAAATGTCCTGGGATTAATGCAAGTAAAACGTATTGGGGCATGGTGTTAACACACCAAAAATAATTTCAACTTGTGTCTTGGTCTGTAAAAACAAACAAGACATGCATTTACATTAATGCACTTTTAATGGAAGTCTAAGCGGCAATACACTGCTTCAGTATAAACTTTAAAATACAAACTGTTTTTCTTGCCACAAGAGTTTCCAACAGTATATGCTTGTGATGTTCCTCATTTGTAGGCTGCTTTGGATAAAAGTGTCTGCTAAATGAATGAATGTAAAATTTAAATACGTGTTAAAGTGCTATCCAGTCTTTCAACTCCTGTCATGACAGAGAAAAATCCACTCACTTAAATAAATTATTTCGGTATACCTGAAGCACAAAGTACATTCACTTAGAACAGTATTCCCACCACTAAAGATTGATATTGATCAATAGTACAAACTTTCTGAAGTCAAATGGGATGATCCCCTTGTGAGGGACCCCACTGAAGGCAGCTGCATATTTTTATGTATAAAAATAAATTTTTACTGTGTAAAGAAAATATACCATTTAATATTATTAAAACGGCAAAATAAATTAATAGTTTCCTTTCTGAAATTAAATAATTGGCCTTTATATCATCATTATACTAAAACAAATTGTTAAAAATATTTCAGTTAAATATTTCCTTTTTATTAAATTGACAGCATATCTGAGATTAACTTTTTCCCATAAATATTTTTATTTTAGAAAAATATTAGGACAAAGAATAAACTATGAGAAAAACTAAATATATAAAATTACTGCAATCAATGACATTTTGGAACAGTCTTTAGGAAATATTATTCAGTTCAGTAAATGTAAAAAAATTACTTAAATTAAATATACTTGATTAATATCTTAAGTGCATTTGTATACACACATTTTCTATGAACAAATGAATTAATCAGTGCTCTATCAAAGATATGAGCTGCACACTTCTTCTTGTAAGCCCTCTGGAATCTCTTGCCCTTTTTGCAAATGCATTACTGTACACACATTTTTTGTTTGTTATTACAAATTTAGGGACGAGTTGGCATTTTCTGTGGCAATCAAAAACATGAAGCTGTTGATGGCTGCACTTGTTATATAAGATATAACATATACATATATATGTTGTTGAATAAGAAACATTGCTTCAACCATATAGTGCAAAGATTTAGTACAGACTTTTTAGTCTCTACAGTCTCACAGCTGAAAAATCTTCTCGACCCTGACATGAAGTCCATGGGGCCCCTAAATGACATCGAGTTACTTGTTGCAAGGACAACTTCCTAGAACATTTGCAATAGTGTCTAGATATGAGTGCATCACATTACCGTTAGGGAAATACAGGTCTACTCTACTGAAAAACTAAACGTAGACTAAACTAAACTAATTATTAGTGGAGGTGACAAGTATCAAAAGTTGTAACATATAATTTCAAGTTTGAGAAGTATAGTAGTAACATTCAAAATATCACCAATGAAAATCAGATTACAATGAATTCAGTCTTTTACGAACTAGAAACACTACATTGCAAACACAAAAATTTAATGTGAAACTAAACTATTGTTACTGTCACAACAATAGTTTCAAATAAGTGCACAACAACAGTGATGTTTGTGAGAAAAGGAATTTGACTGAGCTTTAACTGGGTGGAGCTCAACCATATATGTTGGTATGCAACTTATACTAGTCAGTTAAAACAGAAATCTGACTAGGTGTGCTGATGATGATATGAATTTGGAATGTTTTCTTCTAAAAACTTGTTATGGTGTGCAGATTAGATTTAGGAGTCATATCAACATCAGCATCATGCACACTCCAACAGAGAGCAGGACGTTTGTTCTCTCTAGATCAAAGCAGAGCATTTTCCTCACACAAATTATGCAATAAATGAGAACAACACTCACTTTGTTACTCTACTCTGTCTCACTTAAATATAAACGACATTCTTACACTGGTGTTGATAAAACACATATTAATAATCATACACTAAAAAAAAGACCTACTTATAAATCATTTCCAAAGTAGAATCAGATTCACGACTTGCACAAATTGCACAAGTAGCCGTTTCTGACTTTCAGGAAAACAACTATCATGTCGTTTAAGCAAAATGCGTGACAGCAGAAGCAGGCATGAGCATATAAAACACACTTGTATGTGCTGTCATGAATCATGCGGTTTCAGCTGCAACCATAGCCTATATATGGAGCATCATATTCTGTATTTTGTGCATTCATTGAAAATGACTTTTAATCGTGGGCAAATCCCTCAGTTTCATCCAAGCAGCATGCCATCCTCCAAATAAACTGATAATTTTGCAAACAAAAACATGCATTTAAAAAACCGTATGCAATTACCTGGTCGACTAGTTTAAGAACAGCCATATCATGTGAAACTGCACATCCAAACTCCTGAAAAGACCTGGAGGTGAAGATGAATAAAATCCAGAAGTGGCTGTGCGCTTTTCTTCACGGAAGAATGATGCTGCACAATGAGCTTGCTTCCTGCTTTGCTCTGGATGGCACCCTCCAGGGGCCCGGGGTGATGTGACGGCCGTGGCCGGCTCTGCAGGCGCTATCTTCGGTCAGCGGGAGCTGCTGTAGCCGCTGCCTCGCCACCAGCGCTCCGGCGCTCCGGGAAAAAGGAAAAGGGGAGGGAGGAAAGGATGCTAGGGCTGCTGTAAACAATCCGCATTTACAGCAGTGGCATCCACAGCGATATCGTTTTCAGATATTATAACCCACTCGCTTATGTTCTGCGTAACGTATTCATTCGTTATAAGAAAATACAGGAAGTCAGCGCTTTTTGTATGCTTCCCCCGCTTCCTCGCTACTTTCGTGATCCTACTATGGCGAAGGCGTGGCTTATGAATATTAATACGGTACCCAACTTTCAACCGATTGGCTGAAAGGCAGACGCTGTCAGAGTGGGCGCTGTTGTGATGACCAATGAACGATTGCTACCGCCGATTTATGAAGTAACTAGTTTCATGAATATAAAATTAGGATGTGTGACTGGATGCTTCGAGGAGATTAGGAAGGAACGCCATCGCAACCTAATTAATATTCATGAACTATTGCATCACCATAGTAGGATTCGTAATTTCGTTTCCCCCTCTGTATCTGATGCACAGGATTGTCAGTTCTTCCGAAGAGCCATCATCATCGCCTCACGATGCCCTCGCTAGTCTGACGCACGAACGAATCATTCTAATGAATCTGTTGTGTTTAATGATTCGGTCACAGTACGTGAATCGTTTTGTGAACCGAACTGTCGGAGCTAACTGATTCGCTAAAATGATTCAGTACGCTAACCTTCTCTGATTACTCATAGAATACAGATATCGCATCTTTCGGAGTAACGTATATATATAGGTTTCTTAATTACAATTGAAATAATACATTAATTATAATAATGTCAAAAAGTATTCTCTTTGTAGCTTGTTCAAAGGTAATGAGAGATATACTGTATTGGCTGTATACTGCCCAGCAATGTCCCTACATAATACTTAATGAATACTCTATTTAAAAAAAAAAAAAAAAAAGCAATTTAGAAAGATTCGATTCATTTGAAATTCGATTTTCTGTCAATGATTAAAACCAGATAAAAAAAAAGTGTTAAGGTCAGGAAGCATTGTACAGTTTATAACAGTCAAATTTATTTGGCAAAAGTTCATGCTGAACCCTAGGATTTACATTTAGATGGAAGATTGCAATTTGCCACTATATTGAAATTAGCTTTTAAAACTTTAATTTTTGTTTATTTGCTGCCGTTCTATATTTGTCTCATTGTCGGTACAGTTAATAAATGACGGCTCTACATTCTTAAAGAAATGGAAAACAGGAACTTGCCCACAATGTCCCTGGAAGCAAATATCAGTTTGTTTTGTGTGTGTGTGTGTCTGCTTGATACAGAAGCTATATTTAAAAAGGCATGAGTTTGGGCTGATGGGTAAAAAGGAGACCACTGCAAGTGGCTGTTACATATGCACTGTTTACACAAGAGGATATACTATAAAGTACACATTTTAATATTTAATGAAAACTGAGAGGTTCAAGTCAGTTCAAACACATTCCAGGACATAGTCCAAAATGTAGTTTTCTAGGCAAAAGGCTTTAGCTCTTGATCCAAATTAGTATTTTTTTTTTTTTTAACTTAACAGCCAAGGACCACGGACAAAGCAAATGTTCAAGAGAATATTTTCAAGATTGTCAAGATCAGCACAAGCACTGCATTCCACAATAAAGCAGCCCATTGACTTCATGGGAAAAGAGCAAATATTATCTGGAAGGGTGGATGTAAAAATGATAAATTATGTCTGAAAATCTCTAAAGTATGGTCTCACATTGTTTCAGCCCGAGAAACTCCAGGACCCTCATGTTTGTGCAAAATCACAAATGACAATCTTCCTTTTACATCTTCTGTTGTGTCTAAGAAGAATGTGGGAAATAAGCAAACAAAATCTCATATAATGAATGCATTAAACCCAAGATCCTTCCTTGGGTTTAACATGCATTGTACTACAGGTAAAAGCTAGAAATATTCCCCGATTAAAAGGTCTTAGTTCACACAGCAGCCCAATCTGATTTGATTTTCAAATTTCCAGTCAATTAAGCAAATTTTGAAGCTTGATCGTTTTTTTTTTTTTAGATGACATTTGAGAGGATTTTATTACTGAAAGTGTAGATAGAATAAAATCAGAACTACTTTTGGTTGTGCTAAACAGATCAAACAAATGACAGAGCAGACCAATGACTTTTAATACACAAATGTTTATTCAGCCAAACTAAGCAACATTATAATAAGAACAGATGTGTGACTGAGCGAGAGAGTGGGCTTGACAGATCAGGACACAAGTCTCTAATTAAAAGAATTACTGAAGATAAATCACATTCCTCAGAAACTCTGCTTCTATCTTTACTGTCACTGTGCATGGTGCCACACCGTTAAAACAGAAACGTCTAATCCAAAGAGCAAAAAGCGTCACATTTAACATTCTTTTTTCCACATTTTTCTGTTCTTTAATAAGAAATAAATTTTAGGCCACAGAATTTGTGGTACTGGTTGTAACCTACCAGAGAACATAAAAAATGGACCAAGTCCTATAAACCATGAATTAGACACAGATATAGGAGAAAAGAGAGAGTGCACATGTAAGGGTAGTTATATTCACATGAAGTACTCCAGCTCATAGCGAATGTATGAGTTCTTCTCATCATTGTAGACAAGAGGATAATGTGCGATCAGTGCATCCTGGGAGCCGATATAGATGGAGTTGTAGATCTTCCAGTACACATCACGCACTTTGCGAGCAGGATGGAACAAACCCTATTGAGGGAGAAAAAAAAAAAAAAACATTGGGCCATTAGATCTTTACAAGTCAATGAAAAAGAAAAAACATTATATAAAGTGTGCAGATTCCATGTTGGAAGAGTAAAACATACCTGCAAGCAATACTGCAGCATGCGGCAGGGTCCAATTGCCACCCGCAGACCCTCAAGGGCCCCCATGACAGCTTGGATAACATGAGGGGACGTTTCGAAGACATTTGGCCAAACATAGTTGAGCAAATGATTGAGAGAATCTTCACAGCCAAAGCCATACACTCCCAGAGACATATGCTGCACCACAGCACTGGCTGTCTGCCTGTGTACAAGATCCCTGCAATGGAGCAAAAACAATGAGCAAATACAGAGTTACAGAGGCCTACTGAAAACAATCTGCATGTTTTAAGTGGTAACACTCTTGTGAAAATCAGTCATTCTTTTCCCAGCTTACCTGTCCATCAGAGCATCCTCCAACAAAGGTGTGACGGCATAGATGTAATCTTTGCCCATTTCACCGATGTACTCGAACAGGAAGGACAGAGACTTTAGGACACCGTTCTGAACGTTAAGTTCAGGAACACGGTACTCGTTCATCAACGCAGGAAGCACGGTGAACGGCGAACACGTCTCGGCCACAATAGCGATGGCTACCGTTGTGCACACACGGTTCTGACGTTCCTGCACCTTCAGATTGTTGAGCAGCGTGGCCAGCACATCGTGAGGACTAGATATTTAAGAACAGAAATTAAAAATCAACATTTTCAAACCTGACACATTCTGCATTGCTGAGAAGGATTTTGTGTTTTACCCAATGGCCTTGGCGATGTAGCCGAAAGTATTGACAGTAGCTCTGCGGATGGCCTTCTTGTGGGCTTTCAACAACTCTAGCAATTCAAAACAGATGCGCATCCATTCCCTGGCAGACACATACTCCGCACCCCTGCAAAGGACATGATGATGTGTTTAGGAGGCATTATCAGAATATTTTAGGGATGCACGATATATCGGCCACCATATCGGTATCGGTTCAAATGTTAATAGCTCAAATTCTGCAGGGAACTGTAGAACTGACCTGTCAGCGATTCTGCCCACTAGATCAATGCAGTTCTCCTGCACCTTCTCATGTCTGTTCTTCAAGATTGGAGTCAAACGTGGAAGCAAGTCTTTGATAGGTGGTGTCATCTTGTGCATACCTGCCAACGGGACATTTACATGCTTAATTATACTCAAAAGAAAGCAAAGCAGTAGAAATAAGTCAAATATATGTGATGCACTGAAATGATTAAGGATTCCAAAATAAACGTCAATCAGAAAAAACACATTTTTCGCTGTTCTGGCAAGAGTATTTTTGATTGTACAAATGTACAAACAAACAGAGAAAAAAAACTGTGGCAAAGTTGAATACTTAAGAGTTAGGGCTTAGATGCAATAGCAAACACCAGTAATGAAGCACTTTGACCGACACTCACCAATAACATTGACAATAGCTTTAAGGGCTCCAAGAATGCTACCCAGCACTTCTGGGTATTCTTCTCCCAGATACTCATACAACACCACACCCAAATGGCCCATCAGCTTTTCCTACACGGAAATATAGAAGCAAGATATATATTAGTAAGCAGTATCAGTATTTTGTTTAACCAGTCCATAAATGTACATAATGCGCCCTCACCTCTTGGCATGTCTTCATGACCACCGCTGTGCGAGAAATCAGGTCAGCAGCCTGTTGACGGACTTTGGCAGATTTGTTGTTGAGACGCCACAGCACTGTACCGCAGATCTGAGGCAAGTATGGTTTAACTCTCTTACCCAGAGCATTTACCACCGTACCAAAGCCATTTAGCATTACAGAGTCCTGGAGATACAGGTGAGATTATGATGCAAGATATAACAGCAGCAGGATATTTAATATGCAGCAAAGTCCGTAACTCACCTCAGTGGTCTGTTCCTGGAAGGCGTACAGGATTCCATCAATAAGCTGCTCCTCCAGTTTGTGATCGATGTCAGCGGCACCAAGGTTGCCCATAATTTTCTCAATGGTCTCCATGACCATTTTTCTGTACTGCTCAGCTTCATCCTTCAAGTCATCCACGATACGGGAGATAATCTCAGCTGCCCCTACCTTATTGGCCAGCTCCACTGTAGTGTCCACTAACTGTTATACAAGTAAAAATACAAATGAGATTAAATGCATATTACTCATGGTTAACGTTACTTCTAATTATCTGATGATCTTGCATACCTGTCTGTAGTTGCGCCTATCCAACGCCATTCTGTGCTGCCAGAAATGTTTGAAGAAGGGGGGCAAAATCTCTGTTTTAATGTAATTGGCTTCCACACCATCTGTGCCACAGCACTGCTTTACCACCTGGAATGTACAAGAAAAAAAAAGTTCAGCCTAAAATGTTTTAGAAATACTACATTTTTAATTCTTCTGAATAGTTTTTAATGCACCTTGAGGACAATCTTCTTCATTTCCTCGTCAGGTGACTGG